TTTTTTTTTGTCTCTGTTATCATGCTGTAAATAAAGAGCTGAAGTTCACGTAAAGCAGTTTCGTCTCCATTCCTACACCCATGCTTCGTACTTAACAGTCTCCGCATCCCATCCTCGTCGCCAGTGTTAGATCTGGAGGAGTGGGCGCAAGGAACGGAGACGAGGCATCGAATTGTGACTCAACTCTTTATTAGTGACTTCAGAAAAGGAACTGAAACGCTTGGGCAGCAGCAGCTCCTTTTATAGAGCTGGCTGCTGTCACAATGTCCAATGATTCAAGTTAGCCGCGCTGGAAGCGTCCAATCGGCGGCAACCCGCTGTCAGCCAATCAGATTAGCCAGAGACGACCAATCACGATATGCTAACTGCGGGCCAATCAGAAGTGCAGGATTACAAGCCTGCTGTGGAAGTAAAACTATTAGGATTCAAAACCAATGCGTTTGCTTAGTTCGTAACACATATAATGCTTCATACATCACCTTTGGCTCTTTAAACTTTACATCTCTTGCTTTTTAAGGCATTCATCATCTTACTAAGACTTGCTTGTCTTCTTCCTCTCAACCCATTTACTTTTCTTTAACACATTTGTTTTGTGATTCAGTTCTCACTGATTCCCTTTATATGAATAAACCACCCAAATATACTCCTTTTGTACTGCTCACTGTATGTAATCCATATTCATTCAGTACCCTTTAATCTGCTCCTTCTGATTCATCATCTACGACATGCCTAATTCTCACTTCTACATAACACAATGAGTACATTCTTATATTTTTGTGAAGTATCCATTCCTCATGGCAGACCGCATTCCACCTACCACTTTTCTATTAGTATTTGTATATTTGAAAAGTTCTGCATCCATTTCCCTATTTTTAGTAAGCATTCTACTGACGTATATTCTGCTTTTATCTCTTTATGTACAAGCTGCACTTGTTCATTCCGTTTCCCTATCAAGTACTTGGTTTTTGATATATTAGTTTTCAGATCCATACTCTTACTGCAGCATTCACTAACATGCACTGAAAATCATTCAGGTTCTTACCCAGCAACAATAATTCTCTACATACAAAGTCACACACAGATCCATGTCCCTAACAAATGACCTCAGTGACATTATCACAAACCTTCAGTTGCTCCATACCCAAATATTCATATGTTAGCATTTCTCCTGCTATACCATCCATTCATGCAGCCTTAGCCATTTTTAATATTCTCACATTATGTATGATTTCCTTGTCATCAATTTTTCCTTGACCACTAACAGTTGTAGCATTCATTTTTATACAAATCTCTAATACTGTATCCCCTCATTTCTTCCAGGTAATCCCATCATTGCTATGTTATATTTCTTCCTCTCTTTTAATTTTGACTGTTTCTCAACCCCCTCAACAATATTCTTTGAAATTTCCCCCCATATATGCATTATATAATTTGCAGTAACCATTCTCTGACATACACTTCTCCCGCCTCACATTCACAGCCTCTTTTACTTTATAATTATACCAAAATTCCTTTTTTGTACTTCATGTTAGTATCACGCTTGTAAAATTCCACACATTTGACAAACCAGAGGCAAAAAGCAAGGATTTTAGGAGGGCATATTTAATGCCAATTTGGGATTAAAAACAGGTCCTCAAATCTTGAAGAGTAAACTCCCAACCAGAGTTAAATGAAAAGATTCAAATGAATCTTTCAAATGCCCAAACATTAAAAAAAAGTTCTTTCCAAAATTTAGCCCATTCCAAAATTCAATTTTTCTCACCATGAAAAGCAATACAGTATTGTCTAGAGTTCTAAATTCTGAGTAGAGGCTTAAGCACAATGAAATGCACTTTGATAGCACTCTCAAAGTTGTGATAACTGTTTATATCTTTTAAATTCTATTCATTTGGAAATAATGAAAAGTAGTCATTGTTCTTAATATAAGGATATAAATCTCCATGTCAAGTGCCAGGAATTATCCCAGATAATTGTTCTTTGTTGCTTCAATGTAACAGAAACAACTAAAACTGCTTGGAATCTGCCAATGAACATTGAAGAAACACATATGTAGAAATGTCATGGCATGCTAAGTGTACATACAATGCACTAAGAAGACCTTTCCATTCAGCTCATAGGTGTTTCCACTTTAGCCTCCTGTTTTGTATGAACTGATTTTCATCAAACAATTACAGGACGACCATGAAGGGCACAGATCTTTCACTGACATCTTTTTGGAGGGATAGTACTTTTCAAGCTATAGATAAGCTTTGGCTATCTTGATTAAAAGCCATTGTAGCTCTATCCCTCATAAATCCATTGAATCCCCTTTTAAGCCACTTAAGGTTATTTGCTGCCTCCATTTTGTAACATTGAATTCAGCAGTATGAAATGACTATGCATTGGTTGAAGTACGATCTGTGTTGGTTGATCTAAGTTGTAGTATTAAGAGAAAAGCCATGTACTTCTTCACTACATGTATATGCATTTCCACATCCCCTTCTTACTCACCTTTATCATAACTCCATAGTCCAAATAATCCTTCTAACAAGGTAAAGGACTCCATGCAAGGGTTGGATCATGCCCAGCATCTAGTACACTTGCAGTAAGAATTCATATGCATCAAGGTATGTATGAATTTATTTCATTGTCTAATAAACATAAACCAGCTAAATAAATTTTGAGGAACACACACAAACACAAACCATATTCTGGAGAAAAATATTGCAGTAAAATGCATTCATTATTTATTTGGAGACACATATTGATTCCTAGTTGTGGATTGTATACGTATAAAAATATCTTACCTGTGTGCAAAATGGAATCTTCCACTATTTAGCAAGCTTTTGTTGAATGAGTCATCCTGGCTGCATCTTATTGGTTCACATAGTTAGCATCCAAGGAATTATTGCCTGGTAGAGCTTGCCAGGCCTTGCTTCATTCACAGAAATGCTGGTATGCTACCCAGCTCTTTCATTCACATATACAGAAATCCATTCATATTTTCCAGGTTTTTTTAATCTACTTTTCATGAAGGGAATAATTTCTGAATGACAGAGGTTGCGGCTTATTGCAGAACACAAGATCAGAAACGATCCATACCATGTATATTTGCTGTTGCTAGGGTAGCAGGAGAAAAGGAAAAAAAAAAGAATGCAGTGTGGAAGCTGTAGCAGGTTTGCAGTGTGATGAAAGGCTATTCTGCAGATCACTAGAAATTTGCTTTTTACAATGAATGGGACATTTTCATTCATCACTGCTGGGATCAGAGGTGCTACCTTCATTTATGTATCATCAATTTGTCTCATTAAATACCTGCATTGAAAGATGCTATTGTGTGACTGCTTTTTCTATCATTCAGCCTTTACTGTGAGAAAATTGTCATATGTTCTCTGGATAATATATTAAGTTGTGTGCTGCCGTTCTCTTTTCTGTTTTTTGTTGGAGTAGGATTATTTTGAAATTTGCCTTTTTCAGTATAATTATTTGAAATAATAGTTTCAAATATAAGTACATTAATTTAATGAAAAATTAGCAAGATTAGTTTCCATAATAATGTTACATTTTGCATGATTACAATAAATATATTACACACATTTTAAAGGTTGGTGTGTTGCTTATCTCTTCATATTAAGAATTTATACACCTTTTATTATTATTGATGAAAATCAAAATGCTTATTAATTGATTAGTTTTCAGTTTGGAAAGGAGGCATTACTTTTTTGTCTTAAATATTTTTCAGTTGTCCTGAAATATTAGATTAAAGTAAATGTGCATGTGTGTGTGTTTATACAAATTACTTAAGCCATATGTTTTTCATATTGTACAGCACAACGTTTAATATAAAACTGCTGGCATTAAAAATTCCAGAATCAGAACATTGGGGTTTTGAAAGAAAGACTGCACTTTTGCAGATTATGGTGACAAACATATGCCTATTATAATTGATAGTAAGCTTTTCTGGAAGAGAGAAAGAGAGAGAGATTCTGTACTGTATAGAATTTGTAGCATTGCTTTCTGTTCTGGATAGTTGCACACTGAGCATATTTTATAAAGTCATTGGAATAGGCTAGTACTTTACATAGGGAAGAAAGTTAATGCAATTGCTTTGAGCCATTGTAGACATCCACCTGGAAGGAAGGAAGGAAGGAAGGAAGGAAGGAAGGAAGGAAGGAAGGAAGGCTAAATATCTGTTCCAAATAGGGAAAGGAAATGTGAGAATTGATTGGAGGTAGTGTGCTGTAAGTGGGTGGATTTTTTTTTCCTTACAGGAAGTGCTTTGCAGCATTCACTGAGCCTTTTGTTGAAAAGGGTCCTTCTCATTTGTGTGAGTCATGCTTTTGCTGTGAGAGACTTGGCAGCTCTGAGCTGGACTGGGATCTTTCTGTTGCACAGAAAATTACCGCTTTGCCTAGCCTTACCATGGAACCTTAAGCAAAATTCCTTTCATTTTTTCTTTAAAAAAAAACCCCACAAGCTCCTCCCCATGGCCACATTTTCACTGACCATCTTTGATACTCTGAATCATCTGCTATGTTAGTAGAGGAGTTTCCTGTTTGCCGGAACGTACACAAGATTCCAGATAGAAGGGCATGCTTCAGCGTTCCAAGTATAACCGCTTCAGGAATGATTCAGTGACATCAGTGGATGATACTGTCCATAACTGGTCCATCAACAGCAAGTTCTCCTCAACTGATACCATTTCAGCGTCTTCACCATATCTGGCCTCACCTGAGAACCTCCAGAAGGAGCATGGTGGACACATCACCCTTTCCACTCTTGTGCCTAAAGCGTCCCACTTAAAACTCTCCTCCACAGGCAGCCTTTGGGGCATCAAGAACCTCTCCTCTGCAGTGAAAGAGCTGGCTGTCTCCAAGTTTCAGGGTAGCTCAGCAGCAGAGACTTCAGACAACACATGTAGCCTTGCTATTGCCACCCTGTCTTCTCAGCAGGACAAGAACAAGATGAGTACCAGGAAAAAAACATGGTCGGATGAAATGTACCTGGGAGGTGAGGACTGGAATCAATGTGGCAGCACTGCCAACAAAGTACCCCAAGGATGGCTGCATTCAAATGAGAAGATCCTAGGACCTGGAGTGATGTACATTGTGAAGGTTGGTCTTCTTTCTTTCCATGCTCTATTTTCTTCGTATCTGTTTAATAATTTGGGGTGGGGATGGGGAATCTAGACACCAGCCAAATAGGCTGGAGGATTTTTAATACTCACATTTCGTTTCTGGAAGTCTGATGAAGACTGTTAAGTGCAAAAGACTTTATTGTGAAAAACCGATGTTTATTTGCTTTCATTAAATGAGCATTCAAGCTGACTCGTTGGCAGTTTAAATGATTTAAAGCAGTGGGAAAGAGCACTTCTAAAATTAAAAGGATTATATATCCAGTTCTTCAGAGCACTGCATGGATTTGTATATATTCATTAGTATTGTCTCTAGAGAATCTGTAATAGGTGAGGTAAGAGTAACATCTTTCCATATGATAATTCTGAGTTCAAACATCAAATATCTCAAATGGAATGTGTGTGTGTGTGTGTGTGTACAAATACACATGAAACTCTTTTATTTGCATGTCAAGACTAGAAGAGCAACAGCTTGTAGAATCTGTCTTATTTGCAAACAGAAATACTCTTTCTTGAAGTGGTGCATTCAAAATGCAGTCTTGTTTTACATAACGGTCTTTAACAGGACTTTTTTTCCCCTTTCTGTTCCCTGATAGTTGAAGAGTAGGACAAAAAATCCTTATGCATTTCTAGGTCAGTTTTTCTATTCAATGTACAGTAGTTAAGGTCTCATCGGACCAAGTGAAGCCTAGGACTCAAAGGCAAAATTAATGAATTATTTTGTGACTGTATGCCGATAGTTACTTGGTTCTAAAATGGCACTGCTGAGAATGAACATTTATTATAACAGAGAAAATTTTCACAAAAATAATTTGATGTTTCGTAAGATTAAGCAAAAGCATTGCATTTATATTTTATTTATTGAAAATAGGAATGATTATTTAAAGGGAAAAATTATGATGTACCGTATAGTGCAACAGAGTGCAGACATTTAATTTCTCATTGCTTAAGATTCCACACTGACTATACTTTTATTTCAGTTATATTCTTAATTATCTGTTTTAAAACTTTGCTTTTACAAAAATAGGAAAATGTTAGTGCTTATAATTCGTAATTGTAATTATAGCTAGATTACTTAAGAACCATATTTAATGACCAAATTGATCATGGCATGTAAAGCAAAATATGCTTCTTATTGCTATTTTTCAGATTATAGTACTCATTACTGGATAATGAAAAAAATATATTACAAAATCAGATTTTAGAATAGCTATTCTGTATCATTTGCTTACATATTCTGATAAAGAAGCATCAGTTGCAAATTTCAACTGACTTTAAAAACTTGACAGATGAGGAGCTATTGTTAGTGGATAATATGCTTGATAGAAATATTTTCATTTTAATTATTTATTATTAAAAGCTTCTCTTAAGCATCCATGCTGATTTTGGTGGATAGGTAAATAGAAAACAAAGTGTATTCATGATCTCAGTATATAATTCTAGTTTGGCAAAAAGATTATCACTCTATTGGACATTGTTTTTCGCTACCTGCTTATGAATTGACTTGGAATAAATTGGAAGGTAGACCAGTATTATTCTGTGTTGTCAATGTTTAATGTTGTATTTAAAAGTGAACTGATATTTCTATTTTATTGAGTTTTGTTTGTCTTGTATTTTTTTTTCTTTTTTAGATTCCTTTCCCCTCATTTCTTCTTTTTAATTATTAAAGCATTTAAAAAAAGAAGTTATTGATATCGAGAATAATGAATTGTAATTCCATATATTTCAGATAGTTGGCTACGTAGTGTTTTTTTCACTTGCTTCCAGACTTCACTGATAATTGTTTTAATAATATTTTATTGTTTGGAATTTTTAATGTTTAGGTTAGTCCCCCTGGTATATGTAAGACATTACATGAATACACAGAATTAAAAAATAATACTACAAAGATATTAGTTTTCCTCCAAAAAGAAAGTGAGGAAAAAAGAACCAGAAATTTATCTTATGTGTGAAAAATTTCACTAACAGCTGAAAAATCCTCTTTCTTATCCCCTTATTGTTGATGATGATAATGGTAAACACATTTCAATAGTCTTATGCTGTAACTCAGGAATAGATTTGAACTTCTGATGATAACATAATATGCTTATAACAATAACATTAGGAACAAATTTTTTTGTTCCCTTTTTTAACCAAAATATCAACATCTTTCTCTAAAGATGGTTAACTGGAACATTTGGTGGAATTATCCAATGATCCGACAGTTCTGAACATTTGTTGTTAGGGAATCTGATCTGTTCATCCTCTATCCCTGTAAAACACGAACAATATTTTTTAATATTGCTTGAGGGAGAAAAATAAGGTTTTTATCAAGTTATGTTGGTGATAGGATGGATGGCAGTAGTTCATAAATGGAAGAAATGAGTATTCCAAATTTAGACTTTTAGTACACCAAACTATTATAAACAGTCATAATGGAAAAACTCCAGGATACAAGACATTAATCCAGAACATTCAGAACCCATTAGGAGATATTTATCTTCAGCAATGTTGAAGATACAGTGGGACAAACATGAATGATTATTTGGGGGGGGAAAAGATTTAATGAGAAAATCATGAATCAGTAATACATTCAGCAAAGATATATTGTCCAAGTAATACCGTAGTTAATTATCTAAACTTTTTGTGTATTTTTATTCTAACTAATAGAATAAAATAATTGCTAATTATTAGTGAAGTAGTTTAAAATTTGCATAATCTATACTATTATACACAATAAATAAATAAATGCAACTCATTTTTTAGCATTTTGATATCTTAGAAGTTCAGTATTTTAGTATCCTTCATTTTAATAACTCACATTATTAATTCTCTAACAACTAATTTAACTTTTAACTACTTTAGATTTTGTCTTGTATTTTAATAACAACTTGCTTTCATACTCTGTATTCTATTTTAGTTTGATCTGCCTTAATTTAAAGGATTCTAATTAGAAATTTCCTTTTGCAATTTTCTTTCTCTCTGTATCTTGTATAAAACTAGGTTTATATTGTATACGTGAAGCCAAGCAGAGCTATATATAATTTTAGAAGTCAGTGATTATTTTTGGTCATATTAGCAATCTTGTGAATTTCAGCAAAAATGTGGCAATAGGGCAAGTTCAGATTATGAGAATTGAAATAACATTCAAATATTCAGAAATTGGAAAATTAATTCTCACATCGATGGCATGATTTCAATCAAGGTGACACACCATTGACAATCACATAAGATTAGAAGTTCAATAAAACACTAATCCAAAATGTAAAATTTTGGGGAAATTCAATGTGAGTTAATATCTGTGTCAGAAACTTTGAGAAAATTACATAAAAAACTTTCTTTGCATCTAAAGAAATAAGTGCAGGATTTTGCATTAATTAACTATTTAACATAATCAGAACCTTTTATGACGGGAAAGAAATCCAACCTAAGTGGTTGTGCAATATTAGGAAGAAAACAGGCAGAAATCTGTGAGACAAGGTAGATGATAAAACCTTAATATCTACGCTTAAAGAAACAGCAGCTTAACTGGAACTAAGACTTGGGAATCTATATGTGTGTGTATGTGTGCATATACATAGTTAAAACTGAGAAATAGGAGGAGGTTTGCAAAACCTTTGATTTACATCACCTATTAAATGGGGGGGGGGGTCATAAAATTAGCTGGGAAATCACCAAGATACCAGATTTCTACAAAACAATATATTTATAGTTATATTCACAATTTTTTTTTAGTCCTGCAATACTCTCATTATCTATTGATGAAAAATTGTAACTGTTCAGTTTGAAGTAAAATTTTAAAAACTGTTGAATAATTGGTTTAGAACCTATATACATTTCCCAAGTATACAATGGTACAGATGCAATTACTGAATTTGTTTAAGTCTAAAGCCAGCAGCTTCCTAGATTTTTCTTTCCTTCCCCAGCATCTATGCCTGGTGCAATGTAATAAAAATTCTGATTTGGCAATATACCACTTGTTAAATTTATATTTAATAGAAGCCAGTGGTCTATATAAATTGTAATAAATGCTTTTGTTGCATCCCACCGTAAAGCAATTAAATTAAAAGGGAAAATGTGTAGCCATCTTTCTTTTTTCATTTGATTAATACTTCTTTATCATTCAACAAATACACGTACGAAGACTAGTTCAAAAATGTATATAATTTATTGCCAGATGTGTCTTTTAATTCCACAGGAAAATTTAGCATCTGTATGAGTTGCCAACTTAAATTAGCTAAAGAAAAACATTTTCTTTGTGCAGAAGAAAAATACATTCATGTTGGTAAGGATTATCACCTGTCAGATATGCACCAGGTTAATTTGTATGTATTATAAATCCTGAAATATAATTTGTGTTTTGGCAGTTGTGATCTAATTAGGGTTCTAGAACATGTTAGGCTCCTTTCTATTAAATGCCACTAAAAGAAGGTGAGGATAATAAATAAATTTAATAAATACATGGACATTGCTTTAAAATATATAGTACAATAACTCCCAGGATGTATTGGAGACTCAAAATGCTAGCATTCAGACATTCAGAATTCTTAGTGCAATAGGGACATCAGTTCATATGATGGATGGAAACAATGCCTTCAAGGTAATCCCTTTTCAATTCTGTAATACCTAACCATTTGGAACTACGAGCATAATCTAACCTCATGGATCAGTGGCTGAAGACAGCTAAGATCTCTATTGTTGTTTAAACTGTTGTGAGTTTGCATTGATTTATTGGTTTAAATTAAAAAATAAAATAAAAATGCACAACCCATGTCTGTTGTAAAGCAATACGTTGGCATCGGAAGCAGCTTCAAACAGCCTAAAGTTCATTAGTTAACTATATTGCTCTTAGATCAAACTGAACTGAAGTGAAATATCTCTCAATGGTTTTCTCTGATAAAGATAAATATATTTTGAAAACTGATATATTAATTTCCATTGCTAGAAATACTTACATGAATATCATATAGTTTAGGAAATTGCACCAGCTCTTAGCATATT